TTCATTTAATTTTTTCGTAGCAAATGATAGATTAACCCTTGAATAACATAATAAACAAAATCTCATTTTGGAAGGTTTAGCTATCAGCGAGCTTATCCCCACGTAGCGCTTTGGCCCATGAGAATATAATGCAGACTCCTCAATTATTTTTAAAAATTTTCTTATTTCTTCTATCAGAGAGAGGAGTATATTATTATTCATCAAAAAGAAATGGTTTTATCTTTTATCAAAAGCAATCCTTTTTCTTCTTGTGTTGCGAGACCAACGGCCCCCTAGAGTTTTTTTTTTTCATTATAGCCAGTTGTTCAGCATGATTATATGAGCAAGGGCCATACAATGCAGTGCCATGTACTGCACGCCCCTGCTGAGGACCAAGAAATGGTCTACATGATCCAATAAATTCCAGATTAAACTTCCAAGTCCAGGTAATAAATTTGAATCAACTTTTCACACCTCTTGGGCAGGTTAAGTACGACATCTTCTGAGCCATCATTTCAAATTATATATACATATTCTCTCTCTCTCTCTCTCTCTCTCTCTCTCTCTCTCTCTCTCTCTCNAAAAATAGATATAGACTATGGTTGTTGGACAATTACTAACTAACGTATCTGTTTATAAACATAAAAACATAATATAATTTAATTTATTAGATATAATGTAATTATTTGAATGATTGTACATAATTAATAAGATCGATTGTGATATTTAATTGTGATAGAAAATGGTTGTATATGAATTAGTGAAGGATATGTAATTAAGAATACAGAAAAAAAGCCAATGATATTATTAATAATGTATATAGAATTAATAACTATTAATAACTTAAGGTATTAACTAGGTGTCTGTGTGTGCTAATAATGAATTGTACTGAATATGTGTAAATCTCGTTAAATGTAAGAGTGGTTTATGTAAACCAAATTTTGCGAGAATAAATAAATCATTAATCAATCAATCAATCAATCTTTCTCTCTCTCCCTTCCTCTCTCTCACTCTCTCCCCCTCTCTCTCACTCTCTATCTCCCTCCCTCTCTCTCACTCTCTCTCCCCCCTCTCACTCTCTCTCTCCAGTCTCTCTTTCTCCACTCTCTCTCTCAGTCTCTCTCTCCACTCTCTCTCTCAGTTTCACTCTCCACTCTCTCTCCACTCTCTCTCTCACTCTCACTCTCACTCTCCACTCTCTCTCTCACTCTCTCTCTCTCTCTCTCTCTCACTCTCTCTCTTTCTCTCTCTCTCCCTCCCTCTCTCTCACTCTCTCCCCCTCTCTCTCACTCGCTCTCTCCCTCCCTCTCTCTCACTCTCTCTCCCCCCTCTCACTCTCTCTCTTTCTCCACTCTCTCTCTCAGTCTCTCTCTCCACTTTCTCTCTCTCCCCTCTCTCTCTCTCTCGCTTTGTGTGTGTGTTAAGGTTGAAATAGTATTCTAAAGTGCCAAAGTGTCAAAACCTTTTTAATGCCTTTTACGTTTGTTTTATGATTTTTCCTGGCGCAGATAAATTTATTTTCGGCTGTGGCTTTTCATTAACAAGATTTACATAATTGAACATTGACCAAAAAAAAGCGAAAATCCACTGAAAACCTTTCCCACTTTTGAACATGTTAAGTGTGTCATTCATAAATTAAATCAAAACGGAATTGCGCGCAACTTCTCAAACTGAAAAATATTAGGGTTGACCAGGATTTGCATATTCATTAGGCTGTAAGTGTCCGTTATTGATTTGGCTCAGGCATCACAAGTCAACGAAATATCTTTTCACATGAACAGAACAAACAGTAAAAAATTTGACTGAATATTAATTAACCTGAAGATCACAAGCAAAAACCACAACTTTTTAAAAAATTATAAGTATTATTCCGTAGAGCACTGAGAAAGGCTTAATAAAATCCGAAAATTTGGGAAATTGTCGCAGATTTGTGCCCACATCCCTGATTTAAATCAACCTCCTTTGCACGATGCATTAAATAACATACTATGTGTAAATGTAATATATAACAATTACAATTTCCCTCTTTTTATGGACAATGAAAGATAATGATAAAGAAATGAAATTAAAATAAAAGATAATCAAGTAAAAATAAATATATTGTCTTTATTAAAAGACTACTGCCAGAAAAAACGTAAGGAAATCAAACGTACCAATTCAAAAATAATAGACTGCTTGTAAACCTACCCTATTAGTACAATGATTTCCAGTTCATTAATCTTTTCAAATTATTCTATGAATCAAACAAGGCTCGTCCTTTGATGGCGGCTTAAGGGACTTAATTGAAACAAATTAAACTGCAGGGTAAAAAGATTTTTCGTCATTTACAATAAATCTTACAGGCTGAACAAAGTGGGTTGTGACTTTTTTCGACAATATATCTCAGTTGGTTTACTTGTCCACATCGTTTTCTGAACCTTTGAAAAAATAAAAAATACCCAATTGTTTCAAATTTGATTAAGAAATAAAACAGCGCTAGAGCAATAAAAATGGGATGTAGTTCCAATTTTACCCTTTTGAAGTATCATTAAGTATGAAAAGAAACAATAAGCGGCAATAATGCAATGTTGAAATCATCTAGAGTCATTTCGGAAGGCCTCTTTCACTGTAATCCAACGTTCACTCTACGAGTAAAATGGTTAAAAATTGCCTCTTTTTTTAACATCTCTCGTCTTTTTGTTAAACAGGGTTCGACAGATTAAATTTTAATTACATTAAAAATGTAATTAAAAGCATTATAATCCTACTTTCATTTGAGTTTATCATGGAATACTTAGAATTTAAATACTACAGTTATTTGTTGTAGAAATGAGCGGTCAAGAATGAAGTAGTTTAGAAAGACCCCTTTTTCATTTTTTTCGACGTTTCGACCTTTATTCGGGTCATCTTCAGGGCATAAAGTGTAGTGGTATTCTTGTGGTGTCATTGGTTTTGTTTGAAATTGTTGCGGAACAACTACAGTTTTTGTTTACAAAATGTTGGGTTACGTTTAATCTTTTTAATATTTGAGAATAAATAAACTATTGGTTTCGAAGAAAAGCTAAATATTGGGTTATTTCAACAATCCTTGAGCATGAAAAGTTTAATAACAGCAAATAATAATTCTTGCTAATTATTTTTTAGGTTTTCAACCATTTGCACATTAAATTTATTATTATTATTCATTTTTAAGGGCGTTTTAATATTATTATTAATATCTTTAAAAAGAGCTACTTGAGTATAAAAAGGCTAAATTGTAAAACAGCAACTAAAAAATGTGCCAAATGTTAAGCCGGATATTTCAAACAACAGCTTCAAGTTATAGACGATGAGCTATTATGTTCCTACTAGGAACTTTGTAAAGTTATGGTTAGAGTTTTACGGCCCTGTGTCCCGCGACCAATATTGGTCTATTGTGCAATTCATAAGGTAGAACTAGTGTGTTACTTGTCACAATTAAGTATTCAAATGCCATCCTAATCTAGCATCCTAAAAAATCTAAGATTATGTCGGCTTATTATCTTGACTGATCTTCTGTTCTACGACTATTGTTTTGATTGAGTCCAGCCAGTTGATATATGAAAAAATTATGATGAAAGAAATCAAATGAGATCAACTATGTTGATAATGACAAGAGAGGAATTGAGAGTACCTTTTGAAAATCCTATCATCCAGAGGTTAGCGTTTCAGAAATCAATTATTTTTACATTTTAAAGCCTTTTCTAAAGTTAAGATACATTTTACTCAACAACCGATAGGTAATAATTATCACAATATCAAGTTATAAAATAAAAAACTTGGTCAATAACACCTACAGCAGGTAGCTCGAATCGTAACTCATTATTTAGTCGTGTAACTTCGGCGTAGGTTCATTTTTTACTACGGTCTGCGATTTCTCTATGGGTATGATCGAGTTGTACACTGTTGTCTGTTGCCCTAGTTTTCGAAGGGAGATCATCACTTTGGCAGATGATAAAGTTTTCAGGCGAAGCATGAAGCACCGAAAACCTGTCAGAAGGTGATACAGAACCTTCTGAACGCAGCGAGGGGGGTCGTCACTAGACCTGATGGTAAGGTCTTCAGGTGAAGCACAAGAAGTCTAACACCATCGGAAGAGGATACAGAACCTTCTAAACGCATCGAGGAAGAAATATTGTCATTTGACTATATGGGATACGGCCTCAGACGAAAAGCAACTGAGTAGTCATTAAAATTGGCTTTGGTTTTTCAAAAATGTAGAGGTGAGTTTGTTTCCAGATGGCAATGCTTTGAATGCAACCTTTACGTTTTGTTTGAATACTGATATGTATTAAAAGTCAAATACCAAACTGTTATTAGCAAAAATAAAGCTACAAAATAAGACTTCTGAATTTTGTCTAGAGTAGACAAAATTGAAGTAAAGCATTATTTCACTTTGCATATAACCTTGATATTGTCTATCCCAAAAGCAGTTCTTTTTAAGAACGTTATATTATCAGCAGATCCAAATTCCTGCTAAAATATTCATAAAAGTGGAGTCGAGACCCAACTAATAATAAATCTGTTTTGAAACGTTGGAATTTTTGTTAAAATGTAATACCATTTTTTTAAATTCAAATATTGTTGAATATTTCAACTCAAACTCCGTCGACTTCAAAACTCACAAGCTATTGAGTAGATTTTATTTTTTAAAAATATTCAGTCTGATTGTGTTATTTAAAGTGCCAAGTTTAAAAGATTTGCTCAACAAGAAGTTAAATAAATACAAGATCGTAGAAAAATTAATGAAAACGGGGCAAAATCTATCACAGCCATGAATTTATTTAATGGTACCCGCATATCGACGGTATGACTGCATAATAAATACTCGAGATTTATCCCCGGCTTCCAGCCCCTAGGCCGGAGAAATTCAATTTTGTCCGGTTTTAATAATGAACGAGAGAAATATCCCAGATATTCCTCGTGTCAATAATTATTTTAAGATTAAAGGAACAGGTATCATATAATGAAAAATTTCAAATTTACCAGTGCTTTGTGAAGAATTTTGATAAATAAATACTTACTCGGTAGTGCGACTGGCCATCTTTGAAATGGGTTTTCGTACTCGGCATGAGTCCTTGTGACCTGTTTTTCCGTCAACCTCATTTTAAAACACCTAAAACAAAATAAGGAAAAGATTATTATTTTATATAATAGTACATATTTCATTACAAAATAAGGCCCCTGTTGAAATAGTACACTTTTTATCATTTTATTTATTTATTTAAATTTAATTAACCGTAAATAGCCGGAACGAAATAAAGAAAAATCTGAGATACAAGTGCCTCGAATTGAATTAACAAAATATTTGTTTAAAAAAATTTCCGTACAAAAATAGCCCTATGGAAATCTCATAAAGTAAAAGTACGCCCCATTTCAGAATAAATAATACATTATTAGTTGTCATACTTGATGATTTTCAAATTTTTGTCAGCTTGATCAAACATTATCATCATGTTGTTCAGTCTCGTCTCGCTGAGTGACAGTTAGCAAAATTAGTCTTTAGTGATGATCACTGACCAGGATTATCAAGGATGACAGTAAATAATAGAAGATCCTCGTTTATTATTGAAACCATCAAAAGCTCTTAATTTCGTATTGGGTCGGTCAATTGTTTTTAATTCTTACAGTATAATTAATTTATTTTAAATTTTATATTCAAATAGATAGTAAGTGTAACGTCTTTGCTCTATATACAACCAACTATAACCGATTACAAGTAAAATTTACGGAGCCAAATTCGAAAAAGGAGAGTGGTGTGTAAGAAATATTAGGAAAATAATAAATGTGTGAAAATGTTTGCAATGTAAGAGAAGTGTTACCAAAAATAGTGTCCTAGGAAAAGTGGAAGGAACTAGAAGGGAGGGAGACCAAGAAATAACATGGAAATATAACGTTGAATAAAATTTAAGGATGAGAGTTGTTAACTAGGGAAAAACGGCACGAGACTATCCAGATGGAAGAACACTGTAACGGAGCCTAGAGGCCTGTAACACCAGCTTAAGTAAGTAAACAAAAAAAGTCGTTTATAATTTCATTTAAAATGATAAATAAATTTAAAAACTAATTATAAAGTTTTTTAGCTGTACTACGTTCTGACAAATATAAAAAATGTATTTGGTAAAAATAATTCAACGTGGTCTGCCTATTTTCGCTGTATTTCTGCCAGATTTGTTTTAAGCATCAATGCTTTCAACAAAAATAAGATGAATAAGATGACGTGTTATAACAAATAAATTTCGTAAATGAAAACGTATTCGGTCAAAAGTGTTCATGGATAATACTAAATATCGGGCGCTAGGAATGCTAAACCAGCATGACCGATTTGCCTTGCGTTATGGAAGCTTTCAGCGCCGTACAAATTCAATTGTATTAGAATACTGTAAAATCATTTCATAAAACCACATAGAGTCAATATTGGCCCAAATTAGATTAATGAAAGTTTCGAAGTGCTGACATATCCTCCAAAACGGGACAAAAGGACTGTCCGTTTTCTTTCTAATTTACCTCGTTCATCGTTTTATAACACATAAATTATAGTTTGAAAACTGGCCATTAATTATATCTGAGATGGCATACATAAAATAGTAGGTTAATCAAAGATTCATTTTTTAGGTTTTACTTATGGTACAACAAATATATTTGAAACCGTTAAACTATAGCAATTATCAATTGATTTATTAATATTGTTTTAATGTAAATGTAAAAATATTCGGTAAAAATAATCCAACGTGTTCCGCCTATTATAGCATTGTTCTTGCCAGATTTTGTTTCAGCTTTCAGGAAAAATAAGATGACTAAGATGGCCAGGTAGTAGGACAAACAAATGTTCAACTTTTGCGAGAACAATTAATAAAAAGTTACGTACTGCATCCACAGAGAGAAGTATAATCTCAGACCAAGATAAAAATCGTCCTATGGTAATGGAGCTTTTTAACTTGATGTAATTAAAAAGCAGGAATAAACCCAATTTCAAACAAAGCCCCGAGTTCCTCGTCGTGAATAAATAATACTTCGCGGGCGCTAGGAAAGCTAAACCAGCATGACCGATTTGCCTCGAGTTATGAAAACTTTCAGCGCCGTTCAAATTCAACTCTATTGGAATACTGTAAAATTACGTCATAACACCATATAGAGTCAATATTGGCCCAAATTGGATTAGTGAAAGTTTCAAAGTGCTGACATATCTTCCACAAATGGACTAAAGGACTGTTTTATTTCTAATTTACCTTGTTGATCGTTTTATAACACATAAATTATAATTTTGAAAGCTGGACATTAATGATATCTGAGATGGTATAAATCAAATTCGTAGGTTAATCAAAGATTCATTCTTTTTAGGTTTTACTTATGGTGCAAGAAATAAATATATTTGAAACCGTTAAACTATAGCAATTATCAATTGAATTATTAATATTGTTTTAATGTAAATGTAAAAATATTCTGTAAAAATAATCCAACGTGTTCCGCCTATTCTCGCTTTGTTCTTGCCAGATTTTGTTTAAGTATTCAGGAAAAATAAGATGGTTAAGATGACCAGGTAGTACCTACAAACAAATCTTCAACTTTTGCCAGAACAATTAATAAAATGTTACGTGCTATATCCACTGCGAGAAGTATAATCGCAGACCAAGATAAAAAGCGGCTTAAAGTAATGAAGCCTTTTTTTATTCTTTTTGTAATTAAAAAGCCGAGATAAGCCCAATTTCAAAGAAAACGCTGAGTTCCTCCTCATGTATAATTATTAAATCTCGGGCGCTCAGAATGCTAAACCAGCATGACCAATTTGCCTTGCGTTATGGAAGCTGTCAGCGCCGTACAAATTCAACTATTGGAATACTGTAAAATACTTCATAAAAAGGTATAGAGTTATATATACAATATATTTGAAACGGTTAAACTGTAGCGATTATCAATTGACCTATTTACATTGTTTTGATGTAAATGAAAATATACTCATTTCAAATAATCTATAGACAAATCGTGACTCTTTTGCACGATGACAGTTAAAAGATTAATACGATATGGTTTCAAAATCACTGATGGTTTCTGTTTTTGATTATTAGTTGAGCGATACAACGTCAATATCCAAAATATAAAGAAGCCCTAAACGTAATTGATATCAATACAGTATGTGTTTACTTTCTGTATCAACTATTTAACATTTTGTGCTGTCAGTTGTGGATATTACTGTATTTAATTAAACATTTTTTCCCATTTTTTCATAGAAAAATAAACGACAACGAAAATTAAACGTACTTCTCTTTATTAACAAAAATTCACATTATTATAATAATATTATTTATTTTTTATTTAAAGTTAAATATTCTGTATGTAAATATTTATTGAACGTCCTGGATAGCTTGCTTTGCAGAAAAGTTTTAAATAAAAAATCGAGCCAGTTTATTTACAAAAGTCATGTAGAAGTGGAGTTAACTCGAATCGATTTGCACGAGCCGAAGGAAACGAATCGGTTTCCCTCGCATCCACATCTCGTTGCGTCAGCGTCTAATTTTCTCCTGAATTGTCTCAAGTCGGTCAATTAGCATCGTCAACCGAAGAAATGTGAGCATGCAAGAGGCGCTTCCATACAACAAAAGGGAACGGCGGACCATTAAAAGCAGACAAAAACCAGTAATAGAAAGGAGTTTTCCCACCTTTTCGGAAATTGGTATAGATTTCAACTCATTTTCCGTTCTTTCGCCTTCCAACGTAGGAAAATTAACCGGCGTAATTTGGTTATTTTACCTCCATCATCGTAAGGCATGCTTGAAACTGTTTAAACGTACAGAATTATTGGCGATTTGAGACTACGTAAGAAATAAATAGCCTTAGGGGATGAAAAAGTGTGACAGCGTGCAATAACTCATAGAAGGCAAAGAATAAACAAGCACGGACTTTACAAACTTCATTTAACTTGAAACTTGATAAGTATGAAGAATTCTCAATTAAAGTTATACTCAAGAAATAATCATACAAAATTTTTCAAATTTAAAGGCAAATTAATAACCATTTTTTTCGATATTTTTAATGATTTCAAATAAAAAATTATTCCCAATTGTTAGTGCAAAAATGATCTCAATGTTCTTACTTACGAAAGTAGAATGAAAAAATTCAGTTTGTTCCTCCTTTTTATTTTATTGCTTTTTTGAGGGGGTTGGATGATTTATCTAATTAACCATTTTTCCAATAATATTAACTCTTTAATTTAAAATTAACCCTTTTTTGCATCAAAGTAATCTTTCTTAATTTCAAATATTAACCCTTTTTAAATTATGATTATCCCTCTTTAATTGCAAATTAACCAATTTAACATTAAAGCCTAGGAGGATTTTAAGAGCCCAATTATTTTATATCATAAAAAATTGTCAATTATGCAGTTTTTTAATACTTTAAAGAAAGGATCATCAGTTAAAAAAGTTATTTTGGTGCAAAAAAAGTTTTATTTAACGGGCAAAGCTATAAATGTTAATCTTCATTAAATCGTTGTTTTTTTCACTTTGTAGTCGGTCCGTCTTTTCTCGCTGTGTTCCTTACAGATTCGTTTTAGCGTCGATAATTTCAAAGCTAGATGATACGACAAACAAATTTTTAATTAATGGTAGGTCAATCGACAAAGATTGACGTTTTAAGTATTTAAGTTATCCATTGTTTTTATATAAATAAATAAAAATATATTCGGTCAATAGAATCCATTTAGGTCCGCCTATTCTCGCTTTGTTTATACCAGAATTTGAGAAAGATATATTTAGATTTTGGTAGACAAAAGTATTCATTATGCACACTCTGAAAATTTTCTTAAATAAATTAATGTGTCATTGGCTAGAATAAGAATACAGTTGGATGGCACGCGCCACGTCAGGGTTATAAACGGGGTGAGGCGAGGTATTTCGGTAAATACGAACGATATACACTTAGGTTTTCTGCCTTAATTTAAGTTTTTTGATTTATTATATTTTATTGAAGAATAGAGCAGATAATGGTGACATGGTTTTGAGCCGTCATAAATAATAAATCAAAGTCAACAAAAAAAGAGCGGAAAAATAACAATTTAAGACATTTCAATACATAGTAAGCAGAACTTCACATCAGGCTGGCGTATTTAATATTTCTTAT